TCGGCGCAATCGCGCTAGCAAAGAGGCGCTTGCCCCACTTTTCAAACCAGAGAAAGGCCGTTGGAAAGCAAATGCAAAAGGTCGTGCACGTGTAGAACGAGTCGTCATCGGATGCGAGGAGGTTGTGGAGCAGCGTCGTGCCCGTCCGCATGTGGCCAATGACAAAAACCGGGTCGTCCGGCAGCGGAATGGCCTCAATGACATGCGACGGGTACCAAAGCGACTCGATGAGGCCGACGAAAAATGCAAAAATGGACGCAAACGTCAAAAAGGCCGCGCGGAACATGTACTGCCACTCGATGTGGCGACCGTTCGTATACAGAATCGAGAGCCACTGCGGCAGCGACACGGCGCCCATCATGTTGTTGGCCGTCGAAAAGACATGCTTTTGTTGGAAATGGAAGAGACCGTCGTCGTCGTCGTCGGGGCGATTCGTCAGCGGCTTGTCGACCATGGTGGCAAATGAAGCAATGAGACGACGGCGCAAATGTCGTCCAAGCAGCTGCACGACGCCTCGTTACCGACACCATGGTGTAATGCTCGGTTCGTGAAGGCACGGATACCCGATCAGATGTCATAAGCAGGACAGTCCGATTTGGAATGCGTCGCTGCAGAGAAGAGCCTTGGCGCGGGTGCTGCCACTCGTATTTGACTCTGGGCGGTCATTCCTCAAGCACTTGGACGAGCGCCATTCGTGTGGTTCATTGCGTGGACGCTGGAGGCAGGGCCCTGACCAGACGCAACAGGAGGTTTGGTAGTACAGTGGGAGTACCACCTTCGAACGGCAATGTCGTGCTTCGAAGAAGGAGCTGCCTTTGTTAGTCGGTGCACGATGGCCAGCTAGGATGTCCCTGTACAGTACTTCTAGTATGCAGTGACCAGAGGGTGGCGATGCATGCTCGTTCTCTCGTAGAATCAACGGCACGCTATGAAACACAGGAAATTGCCAAGTGTGCAGCAAAGTTCATTTGCCACCGCACCCTGCATGCACGAAGCCTGCGTACGCGCATCACTGTGCTTGAAATGGAGCATCCAGCGTCACCCACTACGTTGCACGACAGTCGCCTGTCGTCTGCGCCGTCTACAGTGTACTTTAGTGTACCGATCGGTTGCCAGGTGACTGAAGTGGGGCGTTCACTTCGAACGCTGGTGTCGCGTCGATATCCCACCTCTGCCTGTCAGCGCTGCGAGACTAGCGCTGCGACGGCAAGTGGAAGCCAAAGCGAGCGACAGGCCTTATATATGAACGTGTTCCGCGTTATCTTCATTATGACACAAAGACTTCGCATACGTAGCGCTACGCCTGAATGCGTGGGAGTTGGCACCAGCAC